TGACTTCCTGATGGCTGCGTGGCACCACCTTCCCGCCTCGCTGCTGGCACTGGCACTCTGATGTCTCAACACTGGGAGATTATTGGGACTCTTTCCGCGGGTGGGTCGCGGCTTTTAGATACGTTATGTGATATTGGGTAAGTATACGAGACCTGTGGGAGTCATCCACTGTGGGAGTCAGTTACTGTGGGAGTCAGTTACTGTGGGAGTCAGCCACTGTGGGAGTCAGTTACTGTGGGAGTCAGCCACTGTGGGAGTCAGTTACTGTGGGAGTCAGTTACTGTGGGAGTCAGTTACTGTGGGAGTCAGCCACTGTGGGAGTCAGTTACTGTGGGAGTCAACCACAGGGGGAGGGGGAGGGGGAGGGAGATACACGCTACCAGTAAAGCTTTATTTTTAGTTTTTTTTTTAGCTTTAGCTTTCATGAGATGGGGGGTACCCGGCTATGCCCGGGTCTCTCCCTAGCCTCTCTTTTCCTGTCCCAACTCCACACCTTTTTTCTCGCCCACCCATCCCACACTATCCCCCCCCCCCCCTCTTCTTTCTTCTCCATCCTTTCTCCTAATCTCCCTTCCCTCAAGCCCCCTTTAACTTATCCCTATCTCCCACCCTTTCTTCTTTTTCCCCCAACTCCCCCCTCCCCACCCGAGTCCCCTCTACTCTTCCATACCTTTCTTCCCCTCTCCCCTCTTTCGACAAAACAATGAAAACGTCTTAAACTCTACGGAAAACATGTCCCAAAATCAGACAATAAAACTCGCAGGAGGGGGGGGGGGAGGGGTTGCTACAAATACCGATATTTCTTAAAGTGTGGCATTAGGACCGACCCCGACTAGACACTAACATACACCTATTAAACCCCCCCCCCCCTTCCTCATCAGAATCCTCCCCGTGTCATGCTAGAAAGTTGGGATAGACCAGTCCCAAGCATCTAACCTTTACTGTGGATAGACATTTTATTTTATTGATCTTTATTTATTAGAATGATATGGAAACACACTTACATATAGCCTTTGTCTCATTCGCCAGGACATTATTCAGAAATTCATTTTAGTGCATCAATCTCCTAAAAAAATATGACTTTTAAATGTATTTATAGTTGTAATATTTTAATTTAATTGTCAATCGATAAAACTTCAAACAACTTTTATCAAAACTCGTCCACAAAAGATCCCTATTAAAAGTCGATTCATCAAAACAAAAAACAAAACAAAAGCTTAAATTATTTAAGTATTTAAGAGGCAGATATTAATCTCGATCGCTTGAGCAATCGTCGGAGCCTCGCAATACAGTCATTAGAGTTAGTACTACGGGCTCAAGCTACCTCTCAATCACCCTTCCTTGCTAGCATTTTATTGCCACAATTATCATCTACGATCACCGCTAACTACCCGTCTGGCTTGAGTTGCGAAGTGGTTCGTTAACGAGCAGTTATTTACCTGTGGGGTTAAATTCCCTACCATGTTATTGTGTGGTTAAAGTCAGGTGACTAGTTGAAGAAAACGTTGGTAATTTAGAGTTTAGACTTCAGACTTAAGTGGGGATGGGGTGGGGGGGGGGTGAGATATTGGGTTGCTAATGGGGGGGGAGGTAATTGGTAAGGGGGGGGGAATGGGGGGATGGGATATGGGTAAGAGAAATATTGGGAGATGGGAAGAGGACGGTTGTTATCTGTATTTACTAATTTACTAATAATGGCTGCAGAATCGAGTAATTAGCTCTTGAACCCCGCCTTTCTAACGATCTATTTTTTTCTTTATTATGTCTGCTACATATATTTCTCTCACACACACACACACACACACACACACACACACACACACACACACACACACACACACACACACACACACACACACACACACACACACACACACACACACACACATTCCCAGGAAGCAGCCCGTGGCAGCTATATTTACAGACAGTTCCAAAACCGAACATTTGCCTATATATAATTTTCTTCTAACCTTTTCAGTATGTATGCAACTCTGTCCCTGAAAGATCTTTTCTCCATGACCCTCAGTTTCCTGCCCTAGAGGTAGCCTGGAGTCTTACAAAGTCTCATTCTGATCCTACGTCAATTCTGTAAATTCTCCTTCATACTTCCTACGTTACTGTATTCCATCAGATTTTTTTTCAGCTAACGTCAACTTTTAGCTTTTTAGCTAACTTTCTAACCTTTAGCTAACCTTTAACTTTTAGCTAACCTTCAGCTTTTTTTTAGCTAACTTTCCATGTGAAAGCATGTTGATCTGGTTGAGTGAATACACATCCAAGAGGAATCAGGAGTATTATTGTGACTGGAGAGATGAGAATAAAGGGAACAAGCGGAGTTCCACAGGGATTAGTGCTGGTACACACACGTATTGTTTATAATATATATATAGAGGGCAAGCGTGAAGAGTTAAGATCTTCCGTGTCAATGGCTGTTGACGATGCAACACCGATGAGACGAACCAGGACAGAGGAGGTTGAAAGACTGCTCCAGGAAAACCTTGAGAAATTAGAGCTGGCTAAGCGCCTTAAACGATGATAAATGCAAGGTGATGAGATTTGGGATGTGGTTTAGGAGTAAGAAAAGGAAATATATATAATGGCTATCATCGGAAGCAAACATTAACAAGACAATGGATATTCATGGGCTGTCTGCAGCCCATGAATACCTAGCGAAGATCTGCGTAGCCCTGAAGGAACTAGACCTTACCACGCTGGCAAAAAAGAAAACGAATCAGAAAGGACATGATCACGCCGTATAAAATTCCAGGAGAAAGCGAACACAAACGACATGCTAACATGAATACAGAGGGCAGGACACACGGGCCAGGACACACGCAGGCAGGACACACGGGGGCAGGACACACGGGGGGCAGGACACACAGAGACAGGACACACAGAGGCAGGACACACGGGAGGCAGGACACACAGAGGCAGGACACACAGAGACAGGACACACAGAGGCAGGACACACGAGGGACAGGATAAGATAAACACATTCCTGGAAACTATGATAAACTCAGATGAACCACAGAGAGTGACACCAACAGCTGGCCAGCAGTGACCTGTCAGGTGGAACGAGCCAACAGCACAACGTAGGCCATTGAGACCATCTCCTATCCTAGCCTGGGGGAGAGTTGGCATGGTTGCAAGTTGTAGGTCATTACACACAAACGGGTAACCAGGCGTACGCCACCACAAAACCTGAACCCCCATTGGACCCCACCCATTCTACCTTCGACTTGACCTCGTCCCCCCTATCCCCAATCCCCTCCCCCCTGACACCAATTCCCCCCACCCTTCTCCCTGCCCCCCAATCCCCTCCACTGTCTTCCCAGAAAGCACCACCACACCCTCGACCCCCTAACTGCGCAAACCCCTCAATCAGCTGCCATTTTTAGAGTTGTTGCAGGTGTTGTTGCCTCAGTGCAGGAGGCAGATGACGCCTGGAGGAGGAGGTCACCCGAGCCTGAAGCTGCTGCAGCTCCTGGCCCCCAGCTGAATCACCAGAGACTCGCTTGACAACACTTACATATTCTTCTCCAAGATATCTTTAATCGACGAGGCTTTCATATGATTTACGATCGAATTCCGATGCTTCTCTCTCTCTCTCTCTCTCTCTCTCTCTCTCTCTCTCTCTCTCTCTCTCTCTCTCTCTCTCTCTCTCTCTCTCTCTCTCTCTCTCTCTCTCTCTCTCTCTCTCTCTCTCTCTCTCTCTCTCTCTCTCTCTCTCTCTCTCTCTCTCTCTCTCTCTCTCTCTCTCCCCTTCCCTTTATTCATCCTTTCATCGCCTTTGCTTTTCTATCTTCCTCCCTCTATCTCTCTCTCAATTTCTCGCTTAACTGGGCACCTCCCTAAAGAAGACTTCACATAAAGAGACCTCACGGAACTCTTAAAGTCCTCCCTCTGTAATTACTCACTCGCCGTTTTCTGTGACACGTTATTTTAAACATCAAGTTAATTAGGAACCAATGGGGGAACAAGAAGTTGCGTAAATTCCAACCAATCAGAAACACCAGAGGCCATTTAACACACAAATGAGTGGTTGATCCTCGTTATGTCAGGCGTTGGTTTAACTATGTACTCAGAGGCTCTCCTATACCAGTGCTCATCACTTGGGCTGGACGGTAGAGCGACGGTCTCGCTTCATGCAGGTCGGCGTTCAATCCCCCGTCCGTCCACAAGTGGTTGGGCACCATTCCTTTCCCTCGTCCCATCCCAAGTCCTTATCCTGACCCCTTCCAAGTGCTATATAGTCGTAATGGCTTGGTGCGTTCCCCTGATATGTTGTTGTTGTTATAGATTCAGCTATTCGGAACAAGTTCCAAGTAGCACGGGCTATGGTGAGCCCGTAGTGAACTTACCTGGCAGAGGGGAGGTGCTGTCTGTCCCCTGATAATTCCCTCCCTCCCTCTCTTATACCAGTATACTTCATGAAAAAATAACCAAATGCAAGAACTTTTATCAATTAATTACTGTTGCTAATCTCTGGTTTATATCACTATCTACAAGATGGGGGGGGGGGTCATCTTGTAGATGAGATGACTACACGTAGATGCAGTCTACTTGTCATCTACTTGTAGATGACTTATATCACTACACGACAGTGCCCGGATGATAAACGGAGGTCACATCTGCACTACACATGACCTCCATCACTGCAACTGTTTTCACCGCACACCATCTTCCTCACTGTATCCATGGAACACACAGCCATCATCACTACAGCCCATCACTATAGCCGTCACCACATTCATCATCACTATATGTAGTCATCACAATAACCATCACTATATCCATCACTATAGTCATCACTATATTCATCATCACTATGGCCATCGTCACTACAAACAAACCTCAACACTGTAACTATCTACACTACACATGACCATTCCTCTCATAGTCTTCTTATGGTCACGGAATAGTTAGACTTTCATTCCCAAGACGTCAACTTCGTCACTGTAGTTGACACATGTCCTAGTTGCAAGCATCGTGCAAGCATCATGCAAGCATCATGCAAGCATCATGCAAGCATCATGCAAGCATCATGCAAGCATCGTGCAAGCATCATGCAAGCATCATGCAAGCATCGTGCAAGCATCGTGCAAGCATCGTGCAAGCATCGTGCAAGCATCATGCAAGCATCATGCAAGCATCATGCAAGCATCATGCAAGCATCATGCAAGCATCGTGCAAGCATCATGCAAGCATCATGCAAGCATCGTGCAAGCATCATGCAAGCATCATGCAAGCATCATGCAAGCATCGTGCAAGCATCATGCAAGCATCATGCAAGCATCGTGCAAGCATCATGCAAGCATCGTGCAAGCATCGTGCAAGCATCATGCAAGCATCATGCAAGCATCGTGCAAGCATCGTGCAAGCATCGTGCAAGCATCATGCAAGCATCATGCAAGCATCGTGCAAGCATCATGCAAGCATCGTGCAAGCATCGTGCAAGCATCGTGCAAGCATCATGCAAGCATCATGCAAGCATCATGCAAGCATCGTGCATGCATCATGCAAGCATCGTGCAAGCATCATAACCACCCCTCGAGCTGTTACCATGGGCAGTGCGACCTGCCATCGCCATCCCCATCAGGTAGAAATTGCTACAGGTAGGTAATTAATGACCCTCGTAGTAGTTAGTATTTCCATCTTCTTTTTCACGTGTATAGATTAGGGTCAACATCATTGGCCTGAGCTTCAGGGTTGCTGGTTGAGTAGTTTTCAAGAATATGTTACGTTACGGACTTACGAGCCTGTTCTTGAAGGTAGTTCCTTATCAGAAGTAACAAGTGCTAAAAGATTTGCTAGTAGTCCAGAGTATCATACCCATTTTAAAGGCCCCGGCAGCGCCCAGTGCTACGACACAGTTTGGGAATTATCCAACAGTTGTTAGCACTTAGTGGAGAGGTTTAGCGAGAGGTCAGTGGCACAACGACCCTTTCCTGAAACCAAATTATCATTCACATAGTAACCGATGATAGTAAAAAAAAAAAAACAGGCTGCCATTTGCTGAGAAATTAATGTCTCAAGAATTTTGCCAGTAATTGAAAGCAGGGAACACTACTCGATAGCCATTGACTGAAATTGGAACTACAGTGTCCACTGGGAGGGCCACATTCCTTGAGCTGAGCAGGGTTAGTAGAGTCGTGATAGAGGTGAAACCTGCAGGTCCATAAAACTGTTTGTGTTGGGAATGACCTTATCCGGTTCTTGAATGTGTATATTTATTACCACATTCATAAATTAAGATTTCAAATTTAAGTAGAAATAGAAAGAGGAGAAAGTTGACGAGTCACAATAACGAGGCTGAAGACATAATGACCAAACCGCAAGTTTGAAGATGGAGAAGGGACGACGTTTCGGTCCGCCCAGGACCATTACCAAGTGTAATGACTTGATTCCTTCCCCTCTCCCCCCCTACCCAACCACTTTTGCTGGACGGTAGAGCGACGGTCTCGCTTCGTGCAGGTCGGCGTTCAATCCCCGACCGTCCACAAGTGGCTGGATACCATTCCTTCCCCCCCCCCGTCCCATCCCAAATCCTTATCCTGACCCCTTCCAAGTGCTACATAATCGCAATGACTTGGCAGTTGTCTCCTAATAATTCCCTCCCTCCATCTTCCGAGTTGGCCATCAGCAGAGGATAAAAACTCTAGACATCGAGCCGCCTACCGTGCCCCGCCACGATCACCAAGTATCCTAGCCCCCCCCCCCGGCCACCTACCAACCAAACAGCAGCAAGGACCAAAACCTCTTATTGCTCCTCATAGCCAGATCCGGCAAGACGTCTCAGCTTCAAAGAAACTTTTGTGCCAATCATAATTTTCCATCTTGACGTCGTTTAGATCAGTGAGCGATGCTGATCATGATAATATCATAATATAAATTATTATTATTATTATTATTATTATTATTAGAGGTGGGGTGGGTAACTATTCCTTAGGTTCGAACCCCCTAAGTCTTGCGACAGGTTGGAGGCTCTCCTTAAACGGGTTGTGTGTCAGATTTGATTAAAATCGTTGAGGCACGTCAGCGTTAATGCTTTGGGTCACAGTATAGTGAATGCCGCCGCAGAGAGAGAGAGAGAGAGAGAGAGAGAGAGAGAGAGAGAGAGAGAGAGAGAGAGAGAGAGAGAGAGAGAGAGAGAGAGAGAGAGAGAGAGAGAGAGAGAGAGAGACAGAGACAGTCAGACAGACAGAGCTACACTAGTATTGACAACTATACTTATTACATTAACACGAAAACCCCAAATTTTCACGTAAGAAAAACTTCACCTGTAATTCGTGTCCTTGAGAACGGTCAACAGCTTCCAAAAAAAAAAGGTAAATTGTATAAGTGAAGCAAGAACTACCCTGTGGTGGCCTGCCGGTACTTCGAACATGCCTATCGACCGTTCCAGTAATTATCTCTTTGGCGCCATGTCCACGGACGACGGCAGTCCCCCACCCGAAATATATATATATAAATATAATATATATATATATATATATATATATATATATATATATATATATATATATATATATATATATATATATATAATATATATATATATATATATATATATATATATATATATATATATATATATATATATATATATATATATATATATACATTAGCCTACATTAGTAGGCTAATGTACTCCATATGTAATATGCTCCAGCACATTCCATATCAATATGCTGGAGTACATAACCAAGACAGCAAACACTGTATATATGTCCAAATACTTACGGACATGTGTATGGGAGATCTGCAAGTGTATGTAGTTCTCACTTAACGAATTGTATTGTATGTTTCTTATCATATAACACATCCAAGATTAATTTAAAAGCTCAAAATTCACAGTATAAAGTATCTCTTTTTAAGGTCCTATTCGTCATTACATATGTGGGGTGTCTGCTGGAAATATTACATATGTGGGGTGTCTGCTTGAAATATTACATATGTGGGGTGTCTGCTTGAAACATTACATATGTGGGGTGTCTGCTTGAAATAGACAGTACCAATTTCTGGCACAAAAGAACAATATTCTTAATATGTATAGTTTTGAAGCTTCATTTATACTCCAGGGACCAGATTCACGAAGCAGTTACTCAAGCACTTACGAACCTGTACATCTTTCCTCAATGTTTGGCGGCTTTGTTTACAATTATTACACAGTTAATGAGCTCCGAAGCACCAGGAGGCTGTTTGTAACAATAACAACAGTTGATTGGCAAGTTTTCATGCTTGTAAACTGTTTAATAAATGTAACCAAAGTCCTCAAAGAATCAGAAAAGATGTACACGTTCGTAAGTGCTTGCGTAACTGCTTCGTGAATCTGGCCCCAGATCACTAGATTGGCATCACTGCAGAACACTACGACAGTGTTGGCATCACTAACTACATCGTTCCAGTTAACAATGCTAGTCTTAGCCGTACATGTCCTCCACAACAAAATGTCCACTGCATTGTTTCCAAATACCGTATTTAACCAACTAATCAGTACCAATACAACTTATTTCTTCACCATCTACACGATTTATCTCCAATTTTCAAATAAAAACAAAATAAAAACTGAACAATAATGACGGGGGAAATATTTTGGCAGAAGAGCAAAATAAAAGCTATAATTAAAATCAAATTATAAACTTGTTGTTCAATAATAGCAAATTAAGGCGAGTCTCTAAGGAAATAAATACACATTCTCCTCCCGGTAGAGGCGCAGCGAGGTGTGGAGATTTCAACGAGTCTGAAGATGTATCCAGGATGCCGGCGCGCGCGTGGGCGGGAATCCCTAGACCATCCCCCCCTTCCCCCCCTACCCCCCCCCCCCCCCCCCCTCCTAAAAAAACAAAGCTGAATTTTGGCGCGTGATTGTTTTAGCTGACTGCAACGCTTTAGCTGAAGTTAAGCTGATTAATGTTTACAACAATATCTGAACATTTAAGAAGACAATCGTGTTTACATTGATGTTATTGTGTGAATAAGTATTTTATCGCTAACCAGCGATAAAAAGTACTTAAAATGTGTTTAAGTACTCTTAAAATGTACCTAAAATATGTTTAAGTACTCTTAAACACCGAAGAGTACTTCGGTGTTTAAGGAATCTGAACTCTGGGTGCTAGCCCATATTTTCCGCTAAATTAATAACGAAACCTGCATTCCAGACCGTCACTTCTCCAGACAGGATGACCAGAGTCCCGTCCTGGAATGTAGGAGAGGAAGAGTCCCGTCCTGGAATGTAGGAGAGGAAGAGTCCCGTCCTGGAATGCAGGAGAGGAAGAGTCCCGTCCTGGAATGCAGGAGAGGAAGAGTCCCGTCCTGGAATGCAGGAGAGGAAGAGTCCCGTCCTGGAATGTAGGAGAGGAAGAGTCCCGTCCTGGAATGTAGGAGAGGAAGAGTCCCGTCCTGGAATGCAGGAGAGGAAGAGTCCCGTCCTGGAATGCAGGAGAGGAAGAGTCCCGTCCTGGAATGCAGGAGAGGAAGAGTCCCGTCCTGGAATGTAGGAGAGGAAGAGTCCCGTCCTGGAATGTAGGAGAGGAAGAGTCCCGTCCTGGAATGCAGGAGAGGAAGAGTCCCGTCCTGGAATGCAGGAGAGGAAGAGTCCCGTCCTGGAATGCAGGAGAGGAAGAGTCCCGTCCTGGAATGCAGGAGAGGAAGAGTCCCGTCCTGGAATGTAGGAGAGGAAGAGTCCCGTCCTGGAATGTAGGAGAGGAAGAGTCCCGTCCTGGAATGTAGGAGAGGAAGAGTCCCGTCCTGGAATGCAGGAGAGGAAGAGTCCCGTCCTGGAATGCAGGAGAGGAAGAGTCCCGTCCTGGAATGCAGGAGAGGAAGAGTCCCGTCCTGGAATGCAGGAGAGGAAGAGTCTGGTGCTGGACCGCAGGAAAGGAAGAGTTACGACATCAGCGAGGTTGACTATTGCCTCGGGAAGTCAGCCATGGCCGTACCCGGGGAGCTGGAGGCTCCTATCTCCCGCCTTTATATACGAGCCGAAAAATTCGCTTGGATGGTGTAGCCGAGGAGATTGGCACAGGCTGGAGGGTGATAAAAGACAGGGCACGAATATTTGAATATTCGCGCGCTGCTACTCAGAGTGGGAGGGTGAGTCGTGTGTACTCCCCTAGGTGTACTCCCCTAGGTGTGCTTGCGGGGGTTGAGCTCTGGCTCTTTGGTTCCGCCTCTCAACCGTCGATCAACTGGTATACAGGTTTCTGAGCCTATTGGACTCTATCATATCTACACTTGAAACTGTGTATGGAGTCAGCCTCCACCACATCACTGCCTAATGCATTCCATTTGTCTACTACTCTGACATTGAAAAAAATCTTTCTAACGTTTTTACGGCTCATTTGGGCACTCAGTTTCCACCTGAGTCCCCTAGTGCGTGTGTGCCCCTTGTGTTAAATAGTTTGTCTTTATCTTCCCTATCAAGTCCTCTGAGAATCTTGCATGTGGTGATCATGTCTCCTCTAACTCTTCTGTCTTCCAGTGACGTGAGGTTTAATTCCCGTAGTCTCTCCTCGTAGCTCATACCTCTCAGCTCGGGTAC